ACCCCAATAAACACAACCAACTCACAAAAGAAGCTAGATTGCAACCCAAACAAATTACCACTCAAAAGCAGTCCACACTAAATAGCAAACCTAATGTAACAAGCCCAATTATTTTTATCAAAACACAAGCCATAAACACAAGCCAAACATCAACACAAAACCAATAGCCCATTGCCAATACTAAAACTATTAGCCCAAATTAAACTCAAGCCCACTACTACCGAAACAATTTCACCATTCATAACTCAAGCCAATTCACTGAGCTCATTAACTCAGGCCTCTTGTCCATTACCCGTTGCCTGCAACACCATCGGTTCCACCACATTATCACCATCATCCACCACATAGCCAAGAACACCCCTGCACACCAACGAAACTCTAGCAAAAAGAAGACCAGAATAAGAAGAATAGCCAACCAAAAACACACCGCCAGTCCACCAAACGTAGAAGCAATGGAACTAAGTTATCCTATTCATTCGCCTCAAAATTTCAGCAGTTATTCGACCATATTGATGTTGAATAGGCTTTATACGTCGAGCACCATCCTTTTCCTTTGGTGAGGCTTCTTGTCGAGGCTTTACAATAAAGTCTTGATTCTCATTATTTTGTAATATTCGGTGAAATCCATCCATAGAAACAAAATTCTGGTGTGATTTACTTATTTTTTTTATTCTCATCATTCCCAATGGACAAGCCATATATACCCAAATCACTATCATCGCTACTCAAAACTTCTGCAGTCTCGAAAAACTCGGGGAACTTCAAGTAGATAAGAGTCAAGTATAATGCAGCAATACCCAACAAAAAAAAAATTTTGAACCTCCTTGCACTTGGATACTCGCCTTTTAATCTCTTCATCTTTAGAAACTAAACAAATAGATAAAAAACATTTTCTGACACGTATAGCCAAATGTCTCACCAAATCTCTTTCTCACACACACCATAACCATAAAATTAAGGACATATTCAACAAAGAAACACAAAATTAACAGAACCTCAGATTTAACTTCCAAAAGTCACTGGATTCCAAAAATTGGCCGGGCAAGCAGCGCAAGGCTGCTCGCCGGAAACGAAATTTAAAAATTAATTTATTTAGGATCGAAACAGCTCTGATACCATGTTAAATAATTCAAAGAAATAAAGAAAAGGAAAAATGAGGCTAGAGTTTCATTAATTCTGCATAATGCAATTGAATACAAAAGAATGATTTAACCTAAAAACAAAGAGACTATATATAGACTAAATAAAGGAAATTGAAAAGACTATTCTACCTTTAATAAAAAATAAAATAAAATAACCTTATATTCTTAACATATTCTACAGCACCCAAAAAGTTACCGGGTGCAAAATTATGTAGATAATTTTATAAATGGGTAATGTGAAGAGTCGATCGCAAGTATTGTGATTACGAACTATCTTATTAAAAATCGTATGGTTAAAATTTATGTCGGTTCAATTAAATCTTATTTTGAGCAATTTAATGAAAACATCTTGAGGTTGATCGCATGTACAATTGATGCACTATGGTCACTCGTGACAAAAATTATAGGGGTGGGCGGTGAAGTTTGACCAGGATTTAGAAAGGTCGAACAAACTGATATTATAAATTAATTTTTATAAAAATTTCTTTCCGTTACTACGTTTTCATGAGTTACGACTACAATTCTGCTAATTCAGCTGAACAAATTGCGTGAAGTGAAATAAAAACCAAAGTGCAGCGACTGAATTGGACAAAAAGAGTTTAGATGACTAAAATGAAACAAATCTATAAGTTAGGTGACTTGACAATATCTTTAACTGCAAAGAATGATTAGTTTCTCTCCAGTCTCACTCACTCCAATTTTTTGCAATTTCAACTAAACTCGCCACTACAAATAACCATGTCACATCAGGAGCCATTTACGCTCTCAAAATCATCTCTTTCCGCCTGCATCTTCAAACCCTTTGTTCCACTCCTTCCTGATGAAGCTCTTCCACATTTCTACATATGCACAATCTTTCTACCAGAAGATCCAAAAGCAACTTTTCAGCAAAATATCAACCCGAATCCGCTACTCCAAAAATGGGTCGAAGTCGGACACTTTATACAAAAGAATTTCGCCACTGGGTGAGCCAAATGTCTCAGTAGAGCCAGTACTTGACCAGTGGATCAGAGAAGGAAATATTGTTAAGAAAACAGAACTTCAGAACATTATTAATGAATTGAGAGTCTACAAAAGATTCAAACATGCCCTCCAGGTTTGTTAAGAACTTGCTGCTTCTTCTTTCTCAAGATTGCACTTTTACTATTTTAGTAATGAAGAAGGGTTACATTTCGAATCACTTTTATTTAATTCTGCTTGAATTTAAGTTGTGTTTCTTCTTGTTTTTATAATCTGGTTTAGGTGAAAGAATAGATAGAAATTTGTCTTCAAAAAAGGTGTTTACTCTCATTATATTTTTCTCGAGATTTTGGCTAATGGGTTGCCGACAATAGGAAATTTGAAGTATTATGCCCCCGTTTGAGCCCCATTTTTTCTCGTTCCATTACATTAATTTTGTCTCGTCTCAACCACACATTCTCAAATAAAATTCTCAAATAGAATAATATTACGCACAAATCTAAAAATTTTCCGCCGCACATTTTCCCTTCAATCGCTATTCTATAAATTTAATTTGATTTAGTTTTGATGAGTTTTACCTTTTCTTGTTCTATGTTGACTGGGGTCGCAATGTGCAAACTTGAAATACGAGAATTCCCTCTATGATAATAACTATTGTAGATTCAAAAATATTATTGTAAGGAAAACATGAAGTTTTCTCATGGTTAATGTTTTAAGATTCTGGACAGAAATTTGTATGCTGTAACAAGTGTAAGCTTTTTTTGGCCTTTATTTTATGATTCTTACTGATATCAGTGAAAAAAATGTTGGAAGGGAAAGGTTTCAACTCAGATAAAACACAAATACTGCAAGAGAAAAATTTAATAAACAGCACCGACCTGAAGATGGATTATCGTGAAAGATTACCGATATATTGAATATGCTAGGCAGTTGTCAAATCCTGTTTACAGGCTGTGAATTGAAATTTAGTAAACAATAAGATGTTGCTGAAATGTTTGTTGATCCTAATTTTTTTTTGTGTGTGGTAACATCACATGAATTAACCTCATGAAGTTCTTTTCTAATTGTTTAGGTGTCTTGCTGGATGACCGATAAGAGGCATTTTCGCACATCCCATTTTGATGCTGCTGTTCGACTGAAATTGATTTTCAAAGTTTACGGCTTAGAACACGCAGAGAAGTTCTTCAATGAGATCCAAGAAAACTTGAAAACTTTTGATGTTTATCTTGCTCTTCTTACCTGTTATGCCAACGCTAGATCCGTGGATAAGGCAGAAGCTATTATGCAGAAAGCTAGAGATTTGGGGTATGCTAGTAAACCATTATGGTACAATCTTATGATGAATCTTCATTATCATTTGGGAAATATAGAAAAGCTTGATGATCTGATGAATGAAATGAAATCTAAAGGCGTTGATCATGACCACTTCACGCTTGCTGTCCGCCTAAGTGCATATGCTGCAGCTTCGGATCCTGATGGAATTGATAAAACTGTACGGATTTTGGAATCTGATCCTCGCATCTTTCTTGATTGGAAGACTTATGTTATTGCAGCAGAGGGATACTTGAGACTGGGCTTAGTGGACAAAGCTTTGGCAATACTGCAAAAATTGGAGAGGAAGTTGGCAACCACAAAGCAAAAGAATATTTTATTTTTTTTCCTCCTCAAACTCTATGGGGAAACCGGGAAGAAAGATGAGTTGTACCGAATCTGGAACCTGTACAAGCAAAATGAAAAGGTCATCAATAAGGTTTATATAAGCATGATGCGCTCATTGATGAAGTTTAATGACATTGAAGGACTTGAGAAGATTTTTAGTGAGTGGGAATTGAGTGGATTATCCTATGATTTTCGGATCTCAAATTTCTTGATCGATGCATATTGCAGAAATGGTCTTCTAATGAAGGCGGAAGACATTATAAACAGTGGGTTGTCTAAAGGGGGCAATCCTCTTGTAATTACATGGTGTCTTTTAGCAGCTGGTTACCTCAAGGAAAATCAAGTCCCTGACGCCATGGAAGCATTGAGGAAGGCAATCTCGATAAGTTTTGCAAAATCTAATCCTAGCAAAGATTCCTTGACCGCTTGTCTGGAATATTTGGATGACAGTAAATATTTGAAAAAAGTAGAGGAATTCACGAGGTTGCTAAGGGTAGAGAATATTCCTTCAGGAGCTGTTTTTGACAAATTATTTTGTTTTATCAAGGATGGGACATTACAACCCTTTCCACAAGATGAAAGGAATGGTGAGTATGGGACAGAAGACTAGTAAATAAGTGAAAAAGCAAATTTGAAATTCCTTGGCCGGTTCCTAACAGACGTTATTCTCACGGGGGCCTCTGTATGAAATGTACGCGTCGACTCATGACAGATACAATACGCTTATGGTTGACTATCTCATCTGACTGACTAACTGACTTGTACAGGATAGTAAATATGGTCCTCTTATCTTGCAGAGAATGTGCTAAATTTTATACTGCCAATGAATTTTTGTCCACTTTATTATCTTGAAATTCTCGGAGAACTGAAGTTTTTGCCATAGTTTCTAAAGAACATCTGTTAAAGATAGCTTATATTCGAGAAGTACCGTGCCATTAACCATTTATATACCGAGGGAAATTTACACTTCTAGTTATGATAATTGCTTTTTCGAGCGCTCTTTAAATTGGATTCCCCATTCGCTTTTAATATTTTCAGTCGGTATCGTATCATAAAGACATTTTTTCTTGTTATAGTCCTCAATTTGCTTTTCCATATTGCTAATTGCTTGCCTAAATCATCAAACTTTGCTATCCCTGTTAATAGATGATATGTTTAGGCCAATTTTCGGTTTAATTTGAACCCTCAGTTTGTATATCCCTTGACTGCTTCATTGATCCTACTATGTTCATAACAGTATATTTGTATAAACTAAACATCAGTGGCAATGTTCACCATGATATGTAATTTTGTTTGAAATTGGATCTAGACCAGAGCATTGAACATTGCCGTGGAAGAACAATGGATAAGAAATTACTGCAGATAATTCAGTCAACTAAGTGTAGATCCTGAATACTCTTATGTATCAATAGCTATTATATAAATCATGCGAACTTTATACATGTAACATAAAGGGGTGGCAAAAAATTCCTAAAGATAAAACTAAAACAGGAGAAGGCACGAAAGATAACAGCAGAAGAGGAAAATTGAAACTCTATTGAGAGCTTTGCTAGCCTGTAATTGCTGCCTTCTTAATCCAGGGGTACTATTTCCCCCTATGTGGTACGAGTTAGGATACCAGTATAAACTCTCTGAATTACCGNTAATTGCTGCCTTCTTAATCCAGGGGTACTATTTCCCTCTAAGTGGTACGAGTTAGGATACCAGTATAAACTCTCTGAATTACCGAAAACTCTAGCATAAACCATCTCTCCATACATCCCTAACCGGGGATGTGAAAGATCATAAAGAGACGAAGGATCTCCTTCGTTACTGGGATGAGGATCGGATAAATTGTATAGATCTTGTGTGGAGCGAGCTGGTGGCCTAGGCGGTATATTCTCGCCCTTGTGTTCAGTTTCAGAGAGGCATTGGCCTCGGCCATACAAAGGGACCATGGTTTTATCAGAAATTTCGGCCTTGCAAACTGGGCATCTGGGGAGCTGCTGGTCTGATTCAATTGAAGCACTCTGAAACCACTTGTAGATGCAGGGCCAACAATAGAGATGACCACAAAGGGTAACAACAGGATCACGGGCAAAGTCCAAACAGATACTGCAATCGAAGCAAGGAGAAGTCTTTTCAGAGTCTTTTGCTACAGAGGGAATGGATTTCCATTCCTGCACAAAATATTGCTCAAACGCCATGTTTGTTACAGCTGCAAGTCCTTTAATCTCTGATGAGAAGGAAAAAAGAAAACAGGATGTTAGCTGCTAACACGAAACACCAACAACAGATTGAATCTTTGTGATTATATGAACACAAATACTTTCAGAGAAATTCTTCTTGTTAAAGTGAGACGGTGTTAGAGTACATACCAACTCTGTGTTTTTTGGGTGCCTGCAATGGAGTTTTTAGACACAGATGTCTATGCAAGAGGAAGGTTGGATAGAGAATAAAGGTTGAAAAACATGGGGAGTGGTTGAGGGGTTTTATAGATGGGAAAAAATTTGTCCAACTTTGTGGGCCAAGGATTGCTACTTAACTTTTAACATTTTATTTGTTATTTTTACACTAAAACATATCATAATCGTTTTATTATTTACTGTTGGGTCACGTACCATCTTACGAAAAATTTCTAATGCTCAACTCGGTAATTTTCGTCGCTATTTAATTGACATGTATATTGTTTATCCGTGATTCTATCACAATGAAAAAGTAGCTCCTAAAATGTCAATTAAACGCTAGCTCATAGTGTTACTGAATGCTCCGTACTCTGTCGGTGAAGCCTAAGCCTATGTTTGGCTTCCATTTTTTCTAAAACTCATTTTTTCAAAGTTCATTTTTAATCATCCATTCTCCCAGAAAATAGTTTTATACGTAAATTCAAATTTTTTTTCTTATTTTTTAACTACACATTCTTCAACAAATCATTATTTTAAAATGCATTTTGATCCAAAAAAATGAGACTCGAACAAGGGCTAATATTATTATTATTATTTTTTTTTGATTCTCAGCTCATTTAAAATTCTATGAATCTAGTTCCTTAATGATCAAAATTGTCAATGATAAAGTCAAAACTCAACATTTCTATCCATTTTAATTGAAGGACATGTAGGATCTTTATGTTTATATTGACAATTTCGATCAAGTGAAGATTCAAATTACATATTTAAGTAAATTAAAGATTCAAACCCTCACTTTTAAAGGTTAAGAACTCGTAATCGCGCTAATCAAAAGGTTAGAAATTCCAATCATGAATTTTCCTACTATTTTCATAGGTAAAAGTGAAATATACAAACAAAATATAACATAAAATTTGAATTAATTTAATCTATAATATATTAAATCTCACATCAAGTAAGAATCACTTTCTGGACGATTCTACAATTCAATTATTTCATAACACGTTACTTTTTATTTTTTAACATGTATTTAATTTATTTAACAATTTGAATAATATTATCGTGAATTATTTTGCCAACTATTTAGTCACCATCAGTGCACATTCGACATATTCATTTCATTTGTATACTTTTATCATATGAAACCTAATTACAAATTGTAATAAATCCTATAAAATTCTTGTTCATATATGAATTCTCTATTATTAGTTTCAATTAATTAACATTAATATTCATTTAATTAATATTCATCTTTAAATATTACTTTTACAGTACTTATAAAGTATTTAGAATAATGTACACATCTAACTAGTTATCTCAAAAATACTGAATTCTTGGGTACCATCGTTTGCAATTCAAAATTATGACGTGTTGCGAAATCGAATATTAAAACTTTATGTGTCATTTCATTATTATGACACATGATATTTCAAGCGTATCAAGCTCTTGTTTGGTGAAATTTTTTTTTTTATTTTTAATCACACATTTAATAAATCTTACAAACTTATAATCTAAAAAAATTTTACCAAACAGAGAATAATAGTCAAATTTTACATTTGACTGTTGTGAATTGATGGAGATGAACGTGAAGTCACTATTAAATCTAGAAAAAAAAAAGACACATTTTCTTGTACAAAAGTAAAAGATAAGGAAATGGATTTACACACATCAGTTTTGTACAAAGTAGTTTTACATTAAAATAAACAATTTGAAAACGTAATCGAGCAACAAAATCAACATGGTTTCCTTTGGACACATTTTGTCAATAATTCAAATGATGTTGCATATTCCACGCTGAATGACTTTTAGTGCCTTCTAGATTT